CTGCCTGGCAAGGGGAGATTGATTAATAACCACAGTACATTTTTATCTATTATTTATCTATTTTATCTGTTTCCTTTGGGATAATGGTAATATTGTTTGCTTTAATAGTATTGCAGGGGTATATGCAGCTGTTGACTAGATCTGATCAAGGGTGGATTAAGATAGGTTAGATTAGGCAACAATTGAGTGTCTATTCGGCCTGTATGAAAAACATTTTTTTTCTCATCCTGTCTTCACTGGATTGTTGCCATGATACTTCTTCATGCTTGATACCAGCTGTTGGCTCACTAGTTTTTAGCAGAAGTTTAAGATAGATTCTGTCATGGTGAGTAAACTGTCCTCTTGATTTTAGTGCTTTATTTGATTTTTTTGATGTGAAATGAAACTATTTGGCAACACTTTCTGTTTCTTTGCTATGGAAATGGTGTTCTTAACATTTTTAAACTGTTTTTCTCTACTTCTAATTAGCTAGTACTACATTGTCCTAAATAGTTTATCCCACTTCCTTCTTGTCCTGCCTTTGGTGCTTGCCCTTGATTGTAAGCATCTTTCTTTTTCTCATCTGCAGTCAGTGTAAATATAACATTCCTACCCTTTACTTTATAGTGCTAAGCTTCCTCACTTGTAAGTAAAGATTGAGTTGCAGAAAAGTTACTTGCCTTTTTCGTAAGTGTTGAAGCCAGAAGATGATAGAAAATAAGACAGATATGAACTAGAAGTATGTGAATTTTTTTGCCCCCAAAGACTTTCTTCAAGTAAGATGCAATTTTCCATAGAACTGGAATGAATTGTGTCTTGTATCCTTGAGACTGTTAAAATCATAGTGCAAAGATGAGTCCCTGCTCTTGTTTCTTGGTCACCTTGAGGAGATGACAAGATAAGTAATATTATCAATTACTAAACAGTCCAAGAAAGTTTGATTACTTTAAAGTTTTTAATTTGTTTTTCTTCAACAGAGTCAAAGTGCATACTTAGTGAATAATAAATCACCAGAGTGAATTAGCATTTTAGGACAGATGTTTGGTTTTGGTCATGATGGTGATAATTTTAGCTTGAAGGATGCAGTTGGCAAGAATGGAGGGAACTTCTCCTAATGTCTACTCATCTGCAGAAGGAGTAGTCCTGCTGAAGAATTACAGTAGCTGAGATTAATTTTTTGCTGCTTTATTATCTATAAAAGTTTAAAGGTTTTATCTCTCTGCTGAAAATAATTATGGAAATGTTCTTTTGTTTGCTTTAGTGGAGAATTTTATTCCTGTAGGATATTGAAGAATGTTCTTTTCTTCTATGATTTAGACATTGTGATGAAAAGAAATTTTGAGCAAATCTAAGTTTTTGTCATTGTTTATGCCAGTTTTTAGTAGCTTGTGCTTTCCTAAACTTGCCAAAATAGAAGCTTTGAGTATGAGAGACACTGAGAGAGCATTTTCGAAAACTTAAATTTTCCACCAGAGCCTCCCTTTTCAAGATTATCTTTAACACCATAATTTTCTGATTAGCACATTACAAGTTTGTTATTTTCTTTTTTGAGAAATAAGATAATACTCTGCCGAACTACAACTGCTTTTTTATAGGCTGCATTTTGCTTTCTTTACCTAAATGTCCATTGGGGATAATGAACAGATACAAACCTTCCCAGATGATACTTAAGTTTGTTTTGCTTTTAGCTTTGCTAATTCTGTAATGTATTAATTTTCATTTTTAGCTCTGAAGAACAGTGTTATTATTAAACTGTTTTAAATCACACACTTAGGATAAAAATGGGCAAAGACTATTCCTTCAAATACATTTAAACTATTGGCATTTGAAGGAGAATGTTTCCAAAATATCTAAGGAAAAGGATTTCACAGCATCAATAGTTACCAGATGTCTTTCAGTCCCTTGGAATTTCTGAAGGCATAGCTCTGAGAAATTTTTCTATGTTGGTTTGGTTTTTTGTTGTTTTTTTTTTTTTCTTTCTTAGTAGGTGTTTGAAAACCTGTCATGTTTTTATCTGTTTCCATGTGATCGTGTCTTTACTTAGCTACCGTACTATTTTCTCTATGTAAAGGCTTTGCAAGTTTTAATGTAAACATTGAAATAGTTGTTGTCCATATATACCAGATATAATGCTTGTTTTCTTTTTGTGAATTATCTATGAGATGTGCCTTTAGGATTTGTACTTTCTGAAAAGATAACTGACTTAGCATATAGTGAGTTTAGCACTAATAACATAAGGCCACCTTTTAAAGTTCAGAATGAAGGTGTATGTGATCCTGCATCCTGTTTTCAGATGCCCTTGTGGATACTGCAGGAAAGCTATAAAAGCAAAACAAATGTAGAATGATATTTCCTGTATGTATCATTCCAGAGTTCAGGTTTGTGGCTTGTAGAGAGGATATCTGCGCACTCTGACCCTCGATAAGTATTTCTTCTGTGATTTGTATGACACAGGCCCTTCACAGTGTGTTTCACACTGAATCAAAGAGATATGAAAATGAAACAATTAAAGAATGCCAAGTCAGAAACTCCGGGATAAGAAATGCCACAAGCAACAAAACTACACAAATCACTTCATGTGTTTGGCTAACTTCAAGGAATCTGAATAAATCATCCTTCGCAGAGGTTTATATAGTACAGTCAAGACTTTTCTTCTTGACAAATGGTGAAGATTGTTGAGAGACTAAACAGACATTCTTTCCAGATATCAGATCATTCACAAAGCTTTTGTTGGAATCCTTTCCTTTCATATCATCTGCTTTGAGGAGAAGAGCAGAACTGTGTGTTATTCTGTACTCTAAAGCAGTGAGACTGGTATGGCAGCAGTATTATCTCTGTGTTCCTGTCTGGTAGATAAAAGAGAATATTTTCATCCTTCTTTCTAACGGTGCTTTGAGAGCTAAGGTTCTTTAGATGAATAATTAGCTCTCTTAGTATTATGATCATCAGTTTTTACAATGAAATGCAGAGTTGTCTAAGGTTCAGTGGCTTTCCAGGATTTCATTGCTTATTCCGGTAGTGACTGTGTCTGACAGGCACCCACCTTGTGGATATATCATGTGAAATTTGATTGGGTTGAAATATATAGAGCTTTCTTAAAAGGTGTACTTGGTCTGTGTAAGCAAGTCATTCCCAACCAACCAACATATTATTGTATAAAGGGCATAAACATTCACAGGTTATTTGGTCAGCAGTGACTTACATCCTCTTGTGCTGTTGAAAAAGGTAATGAATTGCCTTAAACCAAGCATATGTGTTGCTTTAGAACCCTTTTTTTAGAAAGATTTTATGCGCTGATATTTCTGCATTAGGAACATTTTAGGTCTACTGATGAAATGGATCAAGTCAGTACAGTTTTTGTATGGTACCAAAGTACTCTTACCAATACATGTATAACCAGCAAATTTACATGATGTTGGTATGTGACAGAGACTGTCCTCTGGTATCAGTTTTATTTCCTTGTAAAATTTCAAAATCTAGAATGTAAGGGTTAAAATTCCATGATGAAAACATCTACTAAACATTTGTAAATTATCTTTAAAAGTCAGTTTCCAAACCCATCATGTACAGAGAGAACACTGGGGGAAAAGAATCCCAGGCATCCAAGAGCATTTTGTTGTGATTTTTCAAATTCATCAAATGAAAGCAGAAAGCTGTAATAAAAGCTGTCAGACTGTTTTAACTGCAGATTTTGTTGCTGCTTGCATTGCTTACTGTGCTGTGACAGATAGTGTTTATAGTTTTCAAACAATTCTGCGGTACTCTTTTTGCCAACTGTTTATGCTTGGAGAAATGCGGGCTCCCTATATTCAACCTGAAATGATTTTTGTCAGTTAATGGTATGATTCTTGTTTGGTGGGCCTGAGAACATCCTTCTGTGCTCTCAGGCCTCTTTAGAAAAGGGAGTTTAAAGCTGCTCTACGTGGTAACTTACCAATCTTGTTTTGCTTTGTCCTACATATTGCTCCCATCCGTCAGATTCTGTCCAATTTTGGCATATTTCTGAAATTTAGTTGGATTTTTTTTTCTTAGTGAAGGACTTTATGTAATGTTGTCCTATCAATCTGTACCCTTATAATAAATGAAGAAACATAAATATGTAAATATAAATGAAGAAACAGTGTATGTGTTAGATATAGGCTGTGATAATGCATGCAAGCTCATCATTACTGCTTCTTCAGCAGAACTTATAACTGTTGTGTTGTTTGTTTACTAATGCTATTGGGTATTTTTTTCTACATGAGCGTCCTTAAGTCACTAAATTTGCCAAAAGAAGGAACTGAAATTTTCTTACACAAGAAGAAAGTGAACAAGAAGATGCTTTGAGAATAAAGTAGCAGAATTTTTATGTCTTTGCCAACCATGTATCTTGAGTAATTACCAGCTCATTTACATTTGATACAGCTGTTAAGTGCACTGAAGAATGAATTCTAGATATGTTCTTATCTGATCAGTCTGATTGTATCTTTTCTTTTGCACCTGGAAACTGCTTCTGTAAATGAAAGAGCTCCTGTTTGTATGCTTTTCTTTCAGTGCTGCCTCTGTGACCTGTTAGAAGAGTAGCTTTTATTGAACATGCAAGGAGTTGTTCTTTTCCCTTCTTTGACTTGCAGTATATGAAAAGGAGAATCAATTTTTACCAATGTTAAGCCTTGCCTGTTAGTAAAGTGCAAGTAGCTGGATCTTCTAGTACAGTAAGCTTTGATCAAGTGCCATTTGGTTGCCACTAATATTTCAAATTGAGGGAAGATGACTGGTTTGAATCCATGTCATAGCCCCACATGTTTAGGACTCTAGGAGTAGTTTTGAAATCAGCTCAAGTAGAGATAGTGGCAAGTCACTTAACTGATTTGCATCTTCTTTTCCTTTTGTTAAGTGAGGATTTTTGTCTGTTCTTTGGACTGCTTGTAAGAAAGCAAATGTAAATTCTCACTGGTTATTGAAAACATCAAGAAAAAAAATGTAATTTTTGCATGTTTGCTTGAGTTCTCTTTTCCCCCCCCTCCCCCTCTTCTGATTAGATACAAAGAAGGTGGTGAAGCTTTGTTAGTATTGCTGCCCTCAGAAGAAAAAGGCATGGTGGAACAGCTGGCACAGAGGAAAGTACCTATCAGTGAAATCAAGTAAGTGACTAATGGCCTGTCTGTTATTCAGCCTTCTTTCTACAAGAATAATGTGTGATGAGTCTATGACAATTTTGATAAAGTGCTTGAATTGCCTGGAGCTGGACAAACCGGGGAAATCAGTTAGTTTTGGTAGTGCCGTAGGAGGAAAAGACCCTGAGAGGTTTCCTGTTCCATTGCTGTTCCCAAAGGCAGGATGAGCTGCACAAATTATTCTTATCAGATGCCAATTAATATATTCACAATTTCCCAAAGAGGTCTTGTTTATACTCAACAGTTCCTACCACTAACAGTTTTTCTTCTGGTGTCTGATAAGCTTTTTAAGTATATTAAGTGAAGTATTTCTTTTGTCCTGTGCCAAGAATATATGGAAAATGATGAATTCTCTTACTCTTTGCAGCTACTTTTTATGTAATTGAATATTATCATGCTCTCTCTCTCTTCTTTTCTTTTCCAGATTAAACAATTATGTCTTTAATCTGTCCCTCTATGTTTTTTATACTTGCTATCATTTTTGTATCTCTATCTGTCTTTTGTTTAATTCTAGACTATTTCTCCAATTTGTCATGACCTTTCTAAATCAGCTGGTCGAAGGACAGGAAATAAAATATGTGGCGAAATGGTCATTTTACATACTAGAGAGAGCATTCCAATGAAAAACTAGTGATCTATGCTCTCTATACAAATAGAACTGACTTTGAAGGAGTTGCAGATGCATATAACGATACCATGTAAAAATAAAAAAGCATATTTCCATTTTATATTAAATGCAGAGAAATAGACATGTATGAAAGACAAAATCCCTAACTAAAAATATTAGAAAAAAAGACAACCACTAAAAGAATCAATGGTAGTTTCTTATTTAGCAGCTGTAAGGTTTGAAGGAGTTCTTTAGCCTGTCAGTCTAATGTTAAATTGAAAGAGAAGAGATAATGTGAAGAAAACATGGAAGAAGAGTTGAAAACAAACCAGAAAGTGATGTATGAGCTTGACTCCATTTTGAATACTTACCTAGTTCAGGTCACACCGTGCCAAAAATCATAGAGATAGAAGAAATCAGAGAAGGATGATGAGGTAGAAAGGTAAGTTTCTGTACAAATGGGTATGAGCAAAACTATGACTGTTTTACTTCGAAAAGCTGTGGTTTTAATGTGAAGATACAGCTATCTAAGCAAAGAAGATAATTAAGAAAGTGTCCGTAGAACAATTGTATTTGAGAAGAATTCAAATTAGGGTGAAATTTTAGGTGGTTATTACACCTCATTTCTTAAATCTTCAGATCTGCTAAAAACATTTCTGCAGAGAATAGAAACAATGCATATAACACTTGCCAGATTTAAGGTTTAGTTTTATTTTTTTAAAGCAGTTTTGATGTATAGGATGTCCCATTTCAGAGGCACTTCTAAACTGCCCTTGTGAATACTGTTTCTATGTAACAAACTGAGTACACAGCAGCCAGTGAAGAAAATCCACCTTTTCTGGTCAAACACATGTATTGAATCCATGTAGAACATGCATGAACTTCAAAAATAAGACAACTTTTGCTAAACCAGCAAAATAAGGACTATTTAAGCAGTTAAACAACTACCAAAAGTCTAAGTGTACTTAAAGCTTTCGTTTACATTGGTGTTTAAAAAAATACCTACCGTACAGCACCAACAAAACCAAACCAAACCCCACCAACTGAATGTGGAAAATATCAGTAAAGAAACTGAATTGAAGTCTGATATTTTCTTTTCCCTTAAGCATCATAGTGCTTTAAAAGGATCTATTGTATAACCACTGCAGCAAATTGTCTCTTTTTCCAAACTTCATCTTTTTCCTTGTTAAAATGATAGTTATTCAAATAATTTATCTTATTTTTATATTCAGTAAATTAATGTCTGATCTTATGCATAGAATAAATATTTCCCTTTTCTTTGTCAGCTAAGCTTTTAACTTCTTAAGTAATGCTGTTAATTGTTTGAATAGCTTATCATAGGAAAAGCTAAAAAAACCTCTTTAGCCTGTATTTATCCATGTAAATAGAAATAGGTATTTTTGTACCAGGATAATAATCCAATTTTAATAGGGCAAATATTTAATTTCCCCCTCCTTTAAATGCGTATTCTATTTATAATTCAAGTTAGATGTCTTTCTGGAGAGACATTTGTGGCTGCATCTCTTAACATATTCTTGCTAATCTGATGTGACTTCAGTGGAAAACACTGCTTTTTTTTAACACCACCCCAAAAATTCATTCTTGTACCAAGCCACAAGGGCATATATATAATAAATACCTTTAAGCAACATTCTTAATTGGAACATAGTTATTAGAAAAGTCAGGGCTTTTGATTGATAATATATTTTAACAGCCCCCTCCAAGATGCAGTTTTTCAATCTGCAAAGCAAACCTTTATAGTATTTGTAACATCATAATGAAGGGAAATGCTTTTACGTGGAATTGTCTGCCTAGTGTGGTTAAGATTTAAAAGGTTTAGCATCATACTTGGAAGAGGCTAACTAAAATCCTTAAAAAATATATGTGTAATTACTTGTGGATTGCAAACCAATTTAATTCTGAAGTTTTTAACTACAGATTTTTTCAGGTCCTTCACTTCTAGCCAGTTTTGCAGTTAATATAACCCTGGTGTGTTTTATCAGTTTATAAATTGTTGAAGAAGTTACATCAATCCTTGGATCACGGTCCAGGTCTTCTGTTGAGGTCTTCTGATGTTGTTTGTGCTTATTCATTTAATTATAGATTCTCAAGAATTCTGATTTGGGAGTTAGAAGATAAAGAGCATTGCTTACTGCCAATAGAGTTTAACTCTTCAAGTTTCTGAAATTCACTCTAGAAGCTTTTTTCTGAAAAGCTTGTTTCTAAAACATCCTTGTCAATTGAAGTGTTTGTTTTGCTGTTCTTGTTAAGCTCTTGTCTGGTGTAGTGGTTGCAAGAACTGTGTTACTTTCCTTGTTTTATATTTTTTGATTTGCAAACAACTCTGAGTGTTTCTTTATTTCATTTGGAGAGAGCTTTTAAAACAGTTGCATAATTTGAAGAGAGAAATAGGAAGAACTTCATTTTCCTGAATACCTATACAAAAGATTGGGGGTTAACCTCTTAATTTTCAGTTTTAAATATAAGCTCCCTGTAGAGGTTGTTAGTACACCAATCCTTTCTAGCCAGCATGAGCTGCCAATTTACAGTTACTGCTTTTAACAATATGTAAGTTTTTTGTTATTCAAAAAGAGAAAGAGAAAATGAAGAATATGCAGTAATAAATACTGTATTTTAGAGCATTCAAATGTGGCAAAAAGATACTCTGAAAGTATTAAATAGTATACACCTTTTTTAAGGAATCTGTAATTTCAAAGATTTACGTGCAAGCTGTAAACTGAAATTATTTTTGGTGATACCTGGAGGTTACTTTGTCACATCCAATTTTGTTGGGCAGTAAGACAAGAACTGCTTCCTGAGGGATTATCATAACAAATTGGGGTTTTTTTTTGGTATCAAGGAAAAGGTAATCGTTTAACTTCTTCTCTTTTTTCCCCCTCTTTGAATATGAGCACTATATTTACCTGACCTGTCTCATAGGACTTTTTTTAATCTGTCTCCGATGAATTCTTAAGAATACATACAACTATGAGTCCAAGTGCTTTTACTTTCTCTAGTTGCTATGGAGCAAATTTCTTGTGACCCAGCTGATTTCTCTGAGTACCTGTTATCCTGTGATTTGTGATTCTGGTGTGAGCTTGAACTGTGCTACAGTTGTTGTTAGCTGTCTGATTGCTGCTGCCACTTTGAGTGAAGACAAGGGAAAAAAGACACTGGCTAATTTAAGGGCCTTGAGGTCATATCTTAATAGCTTTCCCGTAACTTAGCAGCAATCCAGCACCTCTCTGGACTGTCTTACTACTGATGTTCACAATAATTTTTATTTTGTTACTAATATTATCCCTTCTTTACTTTTTGTATCATTATATTTCAAAGATTTGTTGGTCAGTTTGTCCCCCACTCAGTTTTTCATGCCTCTTCTTTTCTTATGTCTTTACATTTTTAGAGGCAATTACAGGCTGGCTGGAAACTGGAACTTATTTTTTTGATCTTTCTTTAGAACTGAAGCTAAATAGAGCTTGTGTACACTGCAGTTTTCCCTTGGATGTATCTGAACAGAGTTAAGAAATTAAAATCATGAGGGAATCAAGTTTGATATCTATGCTTTTCCTATTTAGTAAGAATAATAGACGACCATAATCATGTTATAAAAAGACTATAAAATGTTCCTTGCATATTATTTTCATCAGTCATATTTTTTAGACCAACCTACTGCTATGTGAAGAGGTATGATTTTGGTTTGGGTTTTTTTTTTTTCCCCCCTGTGACTTCTTTCAGCAGAGGTTATGTTTTGGTATACAGCATGGCATGACATGGCACACAGCAGCCAGAGTCAGATTAAGAAATGTGGTAGTTGTGCATCTTTGACCTGTATTTGAGGTAGAGGGGTAACCTCCTGCCATGTTTGGTAGGTCATATGATACACTTGCATGGCACTAGCAGATCAAAACCAGAAGTAGATGAGAAAAGATCTGGGCAAATAAAACTGCAATAATGAAGGTATCACTGCAATAAGTGTAAAAATGTAGAATCTGGAAGAAGACCTGCATATCTTTTTACTTGGTTTAATGGCATTTTCTGTAGTACAGTCACTGTTCTTTATTTACTTGATTAAAATCTTGAGAAGCTCCTAAATCTGTTTAATCTCAATGTTCTTTATTATTGCTCACCTGGCTGTTCTTTCTAAGAATGCTTAAATTTAAGTATTCCCAGCACAGTAGATCTTACTTAAGCTTTTGAAAATGCTGACGATTTCCTTATGAAGATTTTGATGTAGGTTTAAAGTAGTACTATAGTTCATTATGCTGCTTCTGTATTTTTTCAGTGTTTTTATAAAATCAGCAAGTTCTTTGCTGATTTCTGCTTTGCTTTGGAAGATTGACCACCTTCAGTGAAACTGTGTCTGAATAAAAAGTCCGAGTTGCCATTTGTCTTTTCTGTATTATCTGTTTGATGAGTGTATGCTTCATCTTTAATATGGTTCCATTCTCTGCTGTTTAAGAGCGGTAATAACTTCCTGCATTTTAAAGCAATGCAAAAATTATGAAGATACTCCTGAGAACTTGATAGGTGCTTATTTTGGCATGTTCTAATAATTAAAGCTAACTTTTTATTCTTTCTTTTTTTAAAAAAAATTAGAATTAATCCTGAAAAACTTACAGACATCCAAAAGAGGATGCAAGCTTTCTTAGCTCAAGATCAGGAGTTAAAAGACAAAGCTCAAAGGGTAAGTCATCTACTGCACTCTAGTTCTTGGAGCAAGCTAGTTGAATTGAACCGTTTGAATGACTGACCACCTCATATGTGCCTTAGAAGCAGTGTTTGGAACTGCTGCATTATTCTGATTGTTAAGCTTTATAACACAATGTCAGTAGAAACAATAATCATGTATTAAGGAATTGGTGGAAAGTATGCCTGTATAGACTGTGTGAGTTGAGATGGGGTCAGTGTGGGCTCATGATGGTAACATGTGAAGAGCCACATGACATATTGCTGTTGTGCCAAAGTTAAGGCATTTTTGAGTACATACTTATTTGAGAGCCTTGGATATGAAAGTAATTTCTGATTTAGTAGTCACTGCTTCTCAGCTGTTTTGTTCCAGTACAAGAAAGACATGGACATACCAGAGACAAGACCAATGAAGAACCACCAGAGGTGATTGAGCACTCCTCACAGTATCTCCTGTGTTAGGAGAGAAGCATATATTAGATGGAACCAGTGTCTTTTGAGTGATGCCCAGTGACAGGAGAGAAAGCAATGGGCACAAATTTGTTTACAAAAAGCTCCATTTAAACCCAGGGGAAAACCATTTGTTGTGAGAGTGGTAGAACACTAGAACAGGTTGCACAGCAAGACTGTGCAGTCTCCAAATGTTGGGTATCAAAAGCTGGATTCCTTCTTGAGCAGCTTCCTGTAGCTAACCTTGGTTTGAGCAGGGGTTTGGACTAGATACTCTTCAGAGGTTCCTCTCAACTTACAGCTACTCCGAGAGGACTTCTCTCAGGAAGCTGGTATAGAACATTTCAAAATAATAATAATAATAAGAGGTTACTGAAAAGTAGGAGATCTCATTACTTGACTCCAATGTTAAAAGCACAAATCCATATAGGCCTCACATGCCCACCTTCTTGGTCAGTTTTTACTGTCATATCTCCTGAATATGTTTGACAATTTGTTCTTTCTCAGTGGTAAATTCCAATGCATCGAATAAAGCATTTTAACTTTGTTTAGGATTTAAACAAGCAAAATAGCTTAGAATAGCTCTTCCAGGTAAGATGGAGAAGTGTGTGAATGGGGCTGTGAATGGGATTTCTTTGCTCTGCTAATTAATGTTGGGAGACTCCATGGACAATATGTGAATGTCACCAAGATTTTTATCAGGTTTTGGCAAGGTAGGAAAACTTCAAATAACTAAGTAGGCTTCTGGACTAGAAGGAGCTTGTTGTAAAAGACATTTTCCCCAGAAGATGGCCTGTGAAACATTTCTGGACATTGTGCTACCTCTTGCTAAATGTGTTTGCTGATCTGTCCCTGGTTTTATAACATTTTTAAGCCACAAACTTTTTGGGAAAGAGCTTCCTACTTGTTTTATTGAAGCACTGCAACATGTTGGTTTTCTGAGATTGGTTGGTTTGTTGGTTCCTTTTTTTGAAATGTGTATATGTTGACCCTATGAATTCTGTAGTTGTACCAAGTCTTTTCCAAACGATACAAAACCAGTTCAAATTGAGATTTGGGGAAACATGATTGGAAGAATAATAGGAAAACCTTTCGTGACTTTTTTTTATATATGTAGGTCAAATTGAAAGAGCACTATCAAAGGCCAAGTGGTGAGAAATATAGAAATGCCAAAGCCTGAGAAATAAAAGATTGCAGAGATTCTGGATTAGTGTTAGTAACTTTTTATTTGTATCAGCTAGTGCGGAGACTGATGACACCTGAAGGTATTCTGGTAAAGCTGAGTGGTAGGGTAAAATGAAAAGTGGATCTTGAATGCTTAAAGAGAAAGTAAGTATTTCAACTTTTCTGTTGAACTGGGATGTAAAATGAGTCAAGTCGAAATATTTAAAACTCTTGAGATTCATTTCGCCTAGCTTTAGATGTCCTCTGTAGGTTAGTCTGCCTGAGCATTCATTTATAGCTGGTAGAGAGGAATAAGCACTTCTATGATGCCTCCTGACATAGATGCCTTAAAAACCCTTTGGGATGGATGAATGATGGTTTCTTTGCACTGCAGAGGTAGCCTGTGTGATGTGACCTAGCTTGGACACCTGCAGTAGGGAGACTTAGTGGGACAGAGGAATGTCATTCTTACTTTCCTAAACAAGGAGTTTTAAATCAAAGTGCCTGAGGAAGTCACTTGGGAGCTCTGTGAATAAAATGTTCAATGTTCAAGGGACTGCTTTTAAAAACTGTTTTTATTGTTTAGGTATCCCAGGTTTTTGTAGTGCACAAAGAATTACGTATAGCAATGTGGAATGTTGGTGTAAGCCTCATCTGAGCACTGCATAAACCAGAGATACTGGTGACTTATCATGATTATGTTCAACTGCCACGGGAAGTTGCAGTTACACCAGTTTGTATTGGAAGTGACAGAGCAGCTGCATGGGGGAGGATGAGAGTAGGAGGAAGCTAGCATCATCTTACTTGGAATGAAAACAATAACAAACCTCTGTTTCTGACTTTGACTTTTTAAAGTTAGTATTTGACTGTTAGTATTACAGATAAAAAATTAATTAAAAAAATTTTAATTGCCATATAATTACCCTTTCAAGTCATTTTTGTTGCTGTTTTAATTTATGGATAGCAGAGTAGTGTCATTCTTGCAAAGAAACTGTATATGCATTCAGGTTTGTTTTTTTTTAAAGCTTGAAGTATGGACAAGTGGTTTATCACAGAAGTGTCCCTCCTTAATAAAGTTTAAGTATGAATGTTCAGACATACTGTGAAAATGTGCCCCAGTAGTCTGACATATGAATGTGAAAAACCCAATAAAATTAATGCAAATGAAATCCTGACCTTGGATCCTTATCTGGAATGCTGGATTTCTCAGAGGCATGGGTCTTCTGCTTTCTAACCTGTCTGTTGCAAGCTGCCAAATTCTTAACATTTGTAATGTAAGAAATAAATGTCCTACTGGAATGGATCTGATAGCAGTGAAAGAGCACAGTTATGCACAGAAGTTCAGATAGGATGTAGTCTACTGTGTGGTCTAAGTCGTTGTGTCCTCTAAGCTTACTGATTTACTTCAAGGTGCTTTTACTTTTTTTTTTTTTTTAAAAAGAGGAAAAACCAAAATTCTTGATTACTAATTGCTTCAACAGACATCATGTTTCATGTGGTAGGACATGGTTCTTCTGCTCTTGCTTGGGAAGGCAGCATGAATCATATTAGGGCTTTTTTGAAACCTTTGCAGTTATTCTCATGGACTGATGCTGCCTTTTGGCATTTCTTGTAATTTTAGTATTTAATATATCAGTTCAGTCCGTTTTGAAAAACAGTTTAAAAAGAGAATCTGTTTTTCTTGCTAGTTTGAATGTTATTGTGGCACTGAAGAGATATCTGTCCATTAAATTCTTCGTCACACCCAGAGGACATGCAGGGTCTTACAGCCTGAGATTCCAGTCACACTTTGTTACTTTTGAATTTTGTCAAAACAGCACATCAGTTGAATTGTATACATTTTAATACTTATCCAAGAAATAGATCAATAAATCAAAATTTAAATGTGGTAAATTCATAGAGCATTGTACTTTTTGCTTACGTATTTCTAGTACTTGTACAATAATCTTTGGTGGTTTTGGGGACCTGTAGCTCCTATTCTAATAAAGCTGTAGTATGTTCCTGATGCCCAACTGTAACATTTTCCATAATACTATAAGGTAATGCATGTAACCTTTTTGCAATGTTCAGTTGTTTAAAAAAAGCCTTGAAAGTGATATCAAAAGAGCAAATATAGCAGGGGACAACAGCAATTGATAAAAGAGCAGGAAACTAGTTCAGACTGACTAAACTTTTTCTCCTTCAGCTCCAATGTGTGTGCATAGACTGACCAAGTCTTAGGAGAACTGAATAAAATCCAAGTGAGATGACAGTATTTTAGACAGAGGTTGAAGTGAACATACTGAAATCAAACAAAAAAAATCAAAGAAAATCACTTAATTTCTCTTCTTGTAAAGTAGAACAACTCTTCTATGCATTTGTTTGGTAGTTCATTCTCAGTTATAGAACTTGATACATGTGCAAAAGTTGTGTTCTTTCTGCCCTTTATCACTGGTTAATTTCTAGACCATGTATACCAAATATATATTAGTAAAGTAAGCAGGATGGCTTTATGGGTTATCCAACAGACGATGAGATTTCAACCCTCATGAAAGCAGTGGCAAGAAGTGACTCATGTAGGTCTTCAGATCTGCAAATCTCAGATTCACAGGAAGGATATTTCTTGTTTAATCTGCTCTTTTCCATCTGTCACTGCAGAGAAAAAAGACTTTCACTGATTTTTGTCACTTGCTAGACAACAAAAGAAAAATGAGATCTGTCAAATTGGAACCCTTTTTCTAAACATTCTAGTTATCTTTGTAAAAATTATTAATAATTTAATGTGAGCAAAGTGCTTTATTCCGCACTTCAGTCTTGGTAGCAGTGTAATGGACTGAGCTCACACTTTCCATAGCTAAAATTAATTGAAAGACATAATCAGGAAGGAAACTTTACCCAGAAAACTTAGCACTTGGAAAAATAAGCAAATGAAAATTTAGTTCTGTATTGAAGTATTGGGCAGCTTGAAAAGTACATCTTAGCTCTGCATATCTTAAAATTAATAGTTTTTATTTCAGTTTACTGAGGAGAAAATAATGAATTTATTACATTGCTTAATTTACTGACTCATATTTTCACCTTTGGAAGTGTTTTTTTTTCTCTTAGAACCATTTAGAGAGTCCCCATAGGAAATCAATGCTGCTGACTGTTGGGTCTTTCCTCCACTATCTGAGAGGAATAAGAAATAGATTTTTTTTTTTTAATTCTGCATGAATTATTAATACATTAATTTTCTCTAACAGGTGCCTGTACATAGCAGAACAAGGATGTGATTATAGTATGCTTTAATACAACCTTCTGAGTTTAACTTGTTGTTATTATGAGTGTTTGATGCTTTAAGCATCATGGTAGGAGTTTTGTCATGTGTTAGAAATTAGGTTATGAACAAGAGAAATCCAGGAACCTTTTCTGATACTTAAAATATTCCAGTATTTATGCTGCTGATGATAGGTAGAAATAGACTATGTAAAAGAAACATGAGAAGAATAAGAATCTTTCCTTTTGGGAAGGATGGAGGGGGAAATGCAATACAAGATTAAGTTATTCTGGTATGCAGTGGTTCCAGTTTTCTTGGTGAAAGTCTGGGATTAATTGAAACTTCAACCTTGGACTGGTCTTAGTAGATGTTGTATAGTGAATTTATGTTGGTCAGCTGAGTTGCATTAATTGACTGTGTGCATGTGATGAGCTGATGGTAAATGCAAGGTAATATGAATCATCTTAGGCCACAGTGAAAGGCAGTTATATTGAGTTGAATCAGTTTCTTTCTTTCTAAGATTAAGTCAGGACACTTCAGACTGATAGCGACACAGTCTATTCTTTCTCCCAGAAAAACTGAGGGAAAAAATAAAATTGAATCAGTGATATTTCCTTCTGACTAATTTGTTGTATTTTCTTTCTAAGGATAGATAACATGACATACTTTTGGGAAATTCAGCCAATTAATGTGCATATAATGAAATTTGAGTTTTTGAAGTTGCATCACTTCTGGAGTAGTGATAAATTTTGGCTGGTGGATATTGTGTAAAAGAATTTTGGTCTGAAATCGATGTTAGACCACCTAATAGTGAAATTCCATTTTGTGTTTAGAGCAACAGTATAATGTTTCTTTCTTGTATTGGTAATTGACTGGTTTCTTTTTTTGTTGAATAATTTTATTTTTCTTTCAGTGTTTTGTGTCCTACTTGCGTTCAGTTTATTTAATGAAGAACAAGGAAGTATTCGATGTTTTCAAATTGCCTCTAGCAGAATATGCCCTGTAAGTATGGCCAACTTGGAATATGAAAAGTGTGTAGTGAAACGTTTTGCAGTATATGATAGCTTTAAATACCTGTTTTGACTGTGTTAGCACACAGAATTGAACAGTCTTGTGATATATTTTTTTCACATTTATGCTGTCCTTTCAAAGGACATTCTAAATAGATTTTATGTGTAAAAACAATGTATCGCTATAGAGAGAAATAATGGTCCTGTTTCTGGCCAGGACAGGGTTAATTTTTTGTAGTAGCCTGGAGAGGACATGGCCAGGACAGGGAGGTTTTCTGGTACCACCTCAGGTCATTGCTGGGGGTGGGGTGAAGGGACTCTGTTGCATGGAGAAGGGATTCATTCTGGGTGTACGTGCGGGGAGCTGTCCAGTTTTGTAACTTATTGCTGGCTCTGCAGTGAGCATTTCTGCATGTCAGTTTCTCTCTCTTTTGTACACTTCTGTTATTAATGTTGTTGCTGTTTCTGTTCGTTTTCTTGTCTCATTGCTGTTTCCAGTAAATTGGTTTTACCTCAACCCGTGATCTTTACGTTTTGTGCCTCCAATTCTCCTCTCCAACCACCCACAGGAGGGAGGGGTGAAAAGGAGGCAGGAGTACTTTTGAAGTACAAGGATAGAGAACCATGTTTTGGTTTTTTCCCCTGAGATTTGCCCTTCAACCTCATAGCTAAATGCCAACCTGTGAAGTGTATTATTTAAAAAGAAATTGGAGTATCCGAAGATATATTGCAGTCTCATTTTGGTTGTGATTGAGACATTGCTCCTTGGCCATAAATTACTTTTCAGAAGATTCAGTGTGTTTAGTAAAGATTAAACATCTGCACTAGACTGAATAGCATCTATTTTGCTGTGTCTATTTTTGTGCATATATGCGAATCATTCCACATTTTGTATGGGAGGGAAATTAGTCTTGACAGGTTGACCTTCCAGATGACAGCCACCTGAAATTGTTTTAAGATGCGAAGTTTTTGAAATCTCATGGGACATAGGGTAGTCATAAGGGAGCAGTAAGGTGTTCAAAGGTACATGGTAAATTAATTTGATGTCTGTGGAATTTCATACAGAGAAGGCTAAAGTTTTCAAACTTGTCAGTACATGGCATAATGAACTAAAATGTGACAAATTGCTAGACTGAGGAACACCTGGTCTTCCTGTGCTATGCTACCATTAACATGATTATGTTTTTTAAGATACATAAGCCTATTATAAAAGATGATTTTTAACTTTACGGGCTGAGAAATTTTGAAAAAGAACTAGCATAAACTTGAAAGATTTCACTATGCATTGCCTGCCCCTTCTTCACCCGTGTCATTTGTCAGCATCTTTAAAATCTTCCTATAGGTCTTACTGTGCTGAATGTAAGGGATAGTGGTAGAAGATTAGGGCTGAGGGGGATGACCACACAAATTTAACCAGTGTAAGAAACCATCTGGCAGATGGTAGTAATGCTGAATTTTCAGAATCCCAGCGCATTCCTTTTGGATTTCAGCATGGCATGGCATCTAGTATCTGATACTGATGTAGACAGAGTAGTCTACAGTTCTGTTCTTCTGGGGTCTCTGTGCCAGGATTTGGTCCTTCAACAAAATGATTTCTAGTCCCAGCTTTGCAAAGCTACTAATAAGTCATTCCTATATTAAAATGCAGGAAACCAATTAGCTGTTTGGAGAGAGTAGGAGAGGTTTAGTCAAGGTTATGAAATATATGGAAGTGTAATCAAAAGGTCAGAAGATAAATCTGGGAGGTAATTCTGAGATTCTGTTTTAGTTTCTTGGCACTTTTCTTCCCTTCTCTCCAGACTGTTAGTCAGCCTAAATACACCCTGCAGTTCCCTGGCTTTCAATTCAGTGCACATCCACTGATACATAGATTAGTCAGCTTAATTTATATGAAAGTCCCTCAAAGTCTGGTATGTTTGAATTTGCATTTAGAAGCAATCTTGGTTTACATTCTGCAAAACAAACTTATGGCAAAACCTGGAATGATAATCCTTTCTTCCTTTTACATTCCTTTTGGATTTTCCAAAAAGTATTTCATCCTTTCTGTCTAGATTTACTGCTAGCTTGATAGGTGTTACTCCACTAAAAATCCTGCAGAGAAAATAGGCTGCTTAATACCCCTGTCAGGTTTGCATTTCAGGCTGTTTTCCACTTTCCCCATTGCTCTCTTACCTGGCTTGTCTGTGCACTAAGATTCTCTTAATCTCTGTTGATTGAGTCTGCAGAAAAGCAATAGTCTTTTTCACTTTTATATGTTTTACATATATATATACATAAAAAAACCAATTTGTATAAAAAATAAAATGTGCGTGCATGTCTGTATGTGCATATAGACATATACAGACATATGTGTACTAGTGATCGAGCACCTTTAAGCTATGCTACATTATTATTCTCTCCAGTATCCTCTCATTAGAAATTGCTATCAAGAATAATTTGCAGGAAGACTTGCACAGGCCTCGTGTTAACATAAGCAGCCTTTAAGTTTGGTGAAGGAGAAACTCTAAAAACTCATAAAGGAGAAATTTGTCTTTTTTACTTCAAAGGACACCTTTGAAAACATAAGAAAATGTAAACAAACAGCAGGGCGAAGAGGAGTAATTACTTAGTCTGGCCTCCTGGATAAGAGACAAGGTAAAGAGGAGGCAGTGTTGTGAAATATTTTACTTCTCAGGCACTTTGTTTTATTAAGTGCTAACATATATACACACCATTCTCCATGGGCAAATCTTAACAGTGTGCTGGATGGACGGGTTAGTCACAGCTCTAAGGGGATTGCCAAGGAAGGTAATTTCCTCTGTGAATTTCATCATGTCTTCCAGGAGGAATGCAGCATATTTTTCTCTGTTTATCCCTGTATTGGTACATAGAGAATAAATAAAGCAGGTTGAAGCCAAGTTACTGGGAAAAATGCCTGATATACCCAACTTGGTACCCAGATAGTTTTGCAAGTGTTGCTTGCATATCAGTTTTACAAAGCTGCACTGAAATGGATGATATCAGAATACACGATCCATCTTTACTTCTTATGCTGTTACCTGGTTAATCTCAGCCTCATACAGTATTACTCATACGGACCGCAGCATTCCCTGCAGTCATTTGTAGAGTTTGGGCATTTCTCACTCCACTCCCCCTCAACCACCTGGAGATCTAGCTGTCCCTTCCTGAGCTTTTGTAACTACTTCTGTAAGCTTCTGCTATACAGCTCTCTGAACAAGCTGCAGTCTTCTCTTTCAATGTCCAGGGTCATTATTCTCTTAGTCATCTTCCTAATTTCTTCTAGGATCTTGAGCTACCTTTTTTCATTCTGCAGCCAAACTTGCTATTAACCTTCACTCACCTTAGAAGTAAATGTATTTGCATATGCATGAGTAGCAGTTCCAGTAGAGTGCCTCTCAGAGTTGACTAAGCCAGCTAACTTGGAGAAAGGATTTTTAATACACTCTAGAAAGCCTTGTTACTTGTGCTGTGCTGTTTTGCCCTTTGAGCAGGTGTCAGGGTGGCTCAGGTACTGAAAACACCAGGGCTTGCAACTGCAGTGTTGAGGTTCCTTTTGCTTCTCTCAGGAAGACTACATCTTTGTCTTTTAAGTGATTAGATTGAAACCATAACATCCTCTTTGTTCAACTTCTGTTTGGGCCTGACCCATAAGCTCTTGAATAGACATTAGAGCTCCTTAATGTAGAGGAATAAAGCTGGCTGGTAAGTAAACAGCACAGCAAAGGCAATTTCTCTGTTCATTTTGGTTATTAATCAGACCATCTGGAAAGCCTGTTAGTTCACATTTGTGTCACTTCAGTTGATGCGATTTCTCCTGTTTTCAAATGGTTGCTCATCTTGTCTTCTGAAAACATTTTAAATGTTAAATGTAGATGTAGCATATATTGCAAGGCAAGTAATACATATTTCTTCTGTTGAAATAGCTTCTGGGAGTATTTAACCTTTTTCAAGCTATTTTAAATCTTTGTCTGAACCTGTTCTACAGTAAAAGTAATCACTAGGCTGTGTTTTTTTGTATTCAAATAATTCTGAAGAAGTTCACTAATGGAATATGTCTTATATTTAGTAAATGTAGTAGCTTAATATTAGAGTGAATCACTAACTTGTCTAAAACTGTTGTGCAGCAGTTCAGCAGAAGTGACCTCAGATTCTTTACAGCTGGGTCATATTTCAAAAAGGACTATCAATCTTCTAGGTGCAGATTAGGAACATTTGTGACACTTAAATCTTTAAAGATTGGACTGGTCTTACATTTCTGGTTTAATTTGTTTTGTGCAAGGACAGATTTTGCTTTGAGTGTCTTAAGATTCAATCTTTAGGGAGTTGAGAGAGATGGCCAGCTTTTTTCTCATCCAAATAGAGACATAGTGAACTTACCATGTTAATGTAAACACACTCAAGGTCTTTGATAAGCACAATTGAAAAACCATAGAAAAGGAAGTATTTTAAGTCTGTTACACTATTTATTTAAATTAATTAAAAAAAATGTTTATTAATGTTTGATCCTCCTTATTCAATGGAAACAAAAGTAGTATTCTCCTTAAAGCCATACAGGCTTATTTCTTTGCAATTTTACTCTTTTAACATATTTCCTGAAATCCCTGTGAACTTACTTACTTACTTGGGTACTTAACAGAGGTACTTGAGCATTGTATGCCATTTGTTTAGCTGCATCTATTCATTCCCTAATTAATGTTAGAGAATGCTGATGTCTGGCCACCTCAGTTTCAGTTGATGAGTTGAAATGTGGTTTATAGTAGCAAAATAATCCATTGGTTTCAGTATTGCTTTTAGAAGCTGATTTAAAATGTCTTTCTGGAAGAGCTTGCTCTCAAGAAGTCATTGCATTTCACACCACAATGTAAAACAGAATTGTCACTTGGTTTGTCAGCTGAATTTGTGTTGCCATTTAAAAGCTGCCATAGTCTGAGGACTACATTGTTGTGTTAGCATGTTTTTAGTGTTGTCTGTTAGGATTTATGAAATCTCACTAAACAACCTACCCAGTTTTTGTCTATATTTATCAGAAAACCATGCACCCTTCTTATTCCAGATGGGTGTGTGAAACGCTAGCGCTAAAATCAAAAAATAGCTGTAACTTCAGTTAAAGTAGTATTGTGGTCTGAGTGGCATCTAATGAATTATTGTAAACTAATATTGCCCTTTCTAGTTTATGAAAAGAAAAGCTGGTTCATGTATTGAGTTTTTTTAGTATGAATGAGCTTTAGATTTGGCAAATGATTAAGAAATAATTTCTAAAGAAACCATCAAATCTTACAAAAAGCTTCTGAGGAAGCTTTTAGCAGTAGTAGAACGTGTTTGTCCCAGGTTTTTCTCCACTTGGAAAATACTGTGAAAAAGAGGCAGTAATGAGCCAAAATGCTGACATTTCTTTGAGAAGCTATGTAATTAAAAGTATTTGGGGATTATTGCACGCACTTTGAGCTTATCTACTATTACTTTTGTACCAAAAAAAATTGACCTTAACGCCTTCTGTCTCCCTTATCTTTGAGGTCTGTATTCTTTTGGTTCAGAAGTAATTTGAATTCTGATTGCACTGGTCTTTTTTGGTAGGGTTGCTAAGCAGCGTAGAAAAATTTGCCAACACTAACTGATAATTAATTTTATTTAGTTATTAAGTAAGACATCAGTGCAGTACAGCAGTATGGCAAATGGAATTTCATATTTGAATGAAAAAAAAACTGTGGTGAAGTCTCATCCACATCATGGGCTGCTCTTCCTGTCTGTTTTGTAACTTTTGCTGTGGAGAGAATAGTTTCTTCACCTTGTCAAACCCTGATCTTTGATGCAGCTCTGGAGGCGTAGAAGAAAAGCTCTGTGAGAATTGGAGTTTTCAGCTCTGTGTACATTGTGCCTCTCTGCAGGAGAAAGAGAAGCGAACACTGATTGTGAAATCTGGAAGAGCAAAAAAGCATTTCTCTTGCAAAGGATTTGCCTCTTGCAACTTTGATCCCCTTGCTGAAGAGATTGAATGCAGCGATCTCTTGATGTGTGTTTTACTGTGCCTGGTGTTAAGGCCCAATTCCGTGTTTGAACGGCTCCAGCTGCTGCAGTGAGGCATTACATCTGCTTTGTTTGGTTATTTCCATTACACTTAGTCAATAGACCAAACTTTAACACATCCTTTCATTGCAAAGGTAGGTAGTGTTTGCTGTCAAACACTAAAACAAGTTGAAGATTGTTTCTCCAATTTCAGTTCCCAAAGCTCTCAGCAGTGCACTGTTAGTAAATGTGCAAAATACACTGCATAAAAACTTCCTTTGATTTTTTTTTTTATAAAACTCTGTTTTCTGTGTTACTGCTGTTAATTGCATGTGGAATAAGAGTGCTGAGGTATCAGAAATACTAAACCAAAATTTTTACATTAAAAATAAACTTTATTTGTTGAAAGACTTGTTCCTTATCCTAACAGTGTGGGTTGCTTTTTGTGTGCATGCCCACTTTTCAGTGTTTTAACCTGTGGCTGGTACCAAAAGTGCACTGTTTAACCACAACCGTGGTTGCATTTGGGATTTTTTTTTGTTTGTTACTTAAGCCTCTTTGTTTGACTACTCTGTCCCATTGGCCATCATTAACAGTTCAAGGCTCTCCAGGGCCTACAGTCCACTCTTACTGCTCTGCAGTACCTTTTTGATGCTTCATGGACTGATTATAATGACTCCTCTGCTAGGGAGTATAGATTTGATTTTTCTCCTATGCTATAACTCAGGTTTCTTTATTCAGAGCTGTATGGTAAAAAGAAGAAATAATGCTATCTACTTGAAGCAAGCAGCATTGTGAGGAGAGGTGGTGTATAGCTGTGCATATTCTGAATAGAAAGAGGCTAGTCTTTTATATGTGTGTATCTGTATATATGTAGCCAATGTAGCTGGTTAAATCCTTTATTCCTTTGTTAAGTGTATGTACAAGCCCCAGGTAATACTAATGCTATCTGTTCTGTATCATGTGTTTTTAAATGTAGCTGTGGTCTCTGTGTGTTCCTTGAACAGTACCGGTGTCCCCTCACATTTTTTTATTCACCTAATATGACAGCTCATGAATTCTGAAAGAGACTTTAAGTATTGCTTTTTCTCAATTTAGATTTGACAGAGTCAGGTGTAATAATAGTGGGCAATTACAAAGTTTACTGAAGTCAAATGGGCTGTTGGAGACAGGGAATCTGTTCCCATGCAATACTCTCCAGTATGGCTGATAGACAGGATTTCTGTTTTTCGCCCAATTTTTGTCCCTTCATCTAATGAATATTTGTGTAACTTTGAATTGTCATAACCAACTGGATAAAAGAATAGTTTTGTTGGCACTACTCGTTACACATGCCATGAAGGTAAGACCTTGCAGTAGAGTGGTGCAAGCAGGTGAAATTGCCTTTAAGTGAGAAATGTCTCTCCCTCAACTTTTTCTGCAGTTAGTCTTTTACCCATACTGTGTTTGTTCTTCTAATCTCTCAGTCACTGTGAGATGGTGGGGATAATGTTCTGGGTGCACTTCCAGCAGTGAAGCACATTGACAGATCAGTGCTAGCTCAGTCCTTGGTATGCTATCCGTGTATCTTCAATACCAAATTACATTGGTGTTTCTTCCACCACATTTTACTGTGAATCATAGATAATTGGGTCATATCTACAATTTGCAGCTTCTTAGTTTGCTTTTCTTCCTGGGAGATTTTTAACTGCTCTTGATAGTTCTCAGTTACTTCATATTCCTTCCTCTCCCAATATTCACTTGCATTTTTCAAGCTGGATTTTTGTGAATGTGTTGATCAAAATGAATTATCGTAATTGAAATTTAATTACTTGAGCCATCAATGACGGATTCTAATTTAGTCAAATTTTGTGTATCTACCTTTTAAATTAATTTATTTGTTTAATTCCATGCTTTAGGTCACTTGGTCTTGCAATGGCACCTCGTGTGAGGTTTCTTCAAAGAGTTCGGAAACAGCTATGTGCAAATGAGGCAGCCAATGTGACAGATTACTCAGATGAGACAGAGCAAAATGAAAATACCCTCTCCTCAAGAAATGAGGAAGGAGTGGAGAAACGTGGAACTAATTTCAATGGAAAAACATCTGTTAACAAAACAAAGGAAAATGAGAGAAGGAAAGAAATAGAGGAATGTTCTTCCAGTGAAGGTGCTGAGGAGAGTGGTGAGTCTGAGGATGAATTGAAAGAACTATCTGAGGAGGAAGAGGCAGAAAAAGAAGGACCTGTACCAAGCGGGGTACCAAACTCAGGCTCCGTGCAGTTCTTTGAAGATGATGATGATGACGATGATGATGATACTAAAGGTCTTGATTTGCTGACAGTGAAACAACGGGATGTTTTTGGTGTGGAAAATAAAGATAATCCAGCACCGGTAAGTGCACTTTACAGTAAGGCTCATGGATCATAATGATTTTATATAGGACATGCTCCAAGGAAGGAGGAGAAAGTGAAAATTCTGCCCTTAGTAGAATACTCACTTGAAGTCAGATGTGTTGTGTATGTGTATCAGGGGTCATGAATACTCCCAAAAAGATAAGTGGTGTTACTTAAGCTTTTATCATTTTATGCAGTTAGTTAGCATAAAGTAATTTTATTTGCTATACTGAATATCCTTGTACTTGCTTTAGTTTATGAATAATAGAAGTTGAATACCTGGGAAATTTTGGCAGTTATAATTCTTATCACTTACTAATTTGCTTGTACCTCTAAGTAGCTGCCACTTTCAGTCATAATTTTGATGCTGAACTGCAGTTTATAGCACTGGGAACAGAATTGCAATACATAATGAGCCACTTCTCGATAGAAATCATAACAAAATGATCTTTAAAAAAAGGTAACTTTCAAACATTTTTACTTTCAAAAGGACTTTTGCAATTAAGAATTGAGCCAGTATCAGAGAGAGTGCAAAGCATGGTTATAAAGGCTTATTGAAAGTATTCATGTAAATTGTTCATTTCCCTGGAGAGTAGCTTTATAGTTCGGATATTTCTGTCCTTGATGTTCTGAGAAATGTTGCTTTCATTTAGTCTTTAAATACAGTGTTAGAGCAAGGGTGGTTTTGTGTGTTTTTTTTTTTTAATATTATTATTTCTGTAGAGCAGATTTGGTATTTGCATATTGTGATTTTTTTTCTTTTGGTGTATCCTTTGCTATCTCACAGCTGTATTTCTGTAGTAAAAAGATACAAGTGAAATAGTCATCTGATTCAGCAAGATGTTTTTCTGAACTTATATGCATGCAAGGGGAGCCTCCTGTTAAGCAAAGTATTTATTTTTCCAACTGGTATTTTAAGTTTTTTTTTTGGTGTGCTGTTACTTAACAGCACAAGGCACTTGTCATGACCTTAATGCTAATCAGCCCACTAGCTGCATTTATAAGCAGCATCTTTCCTTTAGTATGTAGCGAAGTGTATGAACTAGTTTTATCAACTGTCTTTGTGAAAGATGAGCAGTTGCGCAGTAATCTGACCACTGCTTGCACTCTCTTCTCTACTGTGAGGAGACTGCTGCAGGTTGCCATCTTGTCTGAGAACTATGGAAACAGGGATGGTCCTGGAATGAACTTTCTGTTCCTGTTATTCTAAGCCTGAGTGGTTCTGCCCAGGCACAATCACTGCCTGGCAGTAGCTTATATTTATTAATAAATTTCAGTTTCATGTAGAAAAGAAATTGCTATTTTAAAAACAAAGTGAAGTAAAAGATTTCTGCCTTATTTAAAGAATGGTGTTCCCACAGCTTTGTTATTGCATCTACAATTTTGCATGCTGAAATATACAGACAATTTCATGCTGTTTTTGTATGTTGCAGAGTTTTGTTCAGGAAATGGTAGAAGGTGAAACTTTGAAGTAAAGGAATAAACAAAAGAAATTTTATGAAAAATACAAGTGATTTAGAAAGTAATTTGTAGGCTCACTGGATAACCTTTTAACAGTTTTCAAGCATTAAACATTTATAGGTTAGTTTATTTCAGGCAAGTCAGACATTATTTTTTGTGATTCAGTGTTTATAAACTGCAGTGAGTCTTAGTGGTTTGACTTGGTGTGCAAGTGTGGAAGACCTTGTATCACCTGAAGCATCCTGTACTTGGGGGCATAATAATGAAATATTTACTTACTCTTCTAAGCAGCTCTGACCAAAAAAATGAAAAGTTTCAAGATCTGTATCATTAAGAACTTAAATTATATTTAAATCATCTCTTGCAGAAATGCTTGTGGTAGTGAAATATGTAATTTTTAGAAAGTAGAAATGCAGAGCATGCTCTGCATAACTGTAGGAAATAGTCTTGATCAATGCATACAGTAGTGTGGGGTTTATTACCATAGTTACTGTGAAAATTGTTGATAAATTGTGGAATGCTTTAAATGTAAGGATTCTATTTTTAGTAGGAATAAGAGAATATAGGTTTCTATCACTAACCATATTAACTTTTAATGTTTTGTTATACAAATGCACATAGTAGAAATTACATAGAAAAACTCAGGCATTTAGCATTTTTTATTTCACATGTATATCTCAACACCTTATTTTGTGGATCTTGAAACCAAATTGGTAATATGCAACACTTTTTTTTTTTCCCATTTGTATATTTTCTGGATAGAAGCTTTTAAGTATGAATATACAGTGTATATTCTGCTACATTGGTTAGAGGGGTTTTTTGAAAAATTTATTCTACATATTAAGTAAGGTAGGAGTCCTGTGCAAACATTGGTATGTGGTCATCTAACTGGAGGATTATGAGTATGCCCACAAAGATTGAATTCAATTTGCCTTTATACTTTTAATATGTGTGATTGATTTTGCAGTTTCACTATTCTTGTGTTAGGCTTCTTTTGACAGCAAAATAGTCCGACTTGCTGTGATCACTGAGCTTCAGGATATGTTTTGTAAATGGAAACATTATGTTCAGTTTTAAGTTTTGAGTAGCTGTTGTTAAAGATGCCATTGGTTTCTCATTCTTGTGTCTACCCTAGTCCCTCCAATGGAAGAAGGAGCAAGAGGAGGTGTTAGGCTGGCTCCGAGTATTCTCTGTGGTGTTGTAGTGCCCGGACCTTTGATTACAAGGTGGAGTTGGCTTATCCATCTTTGTAACAAGGGAAAGGAACTAGTCAGAAGGAGCAGGGGTTATTTAAACTGATGATGGAGTAGAAGGGGATTTGTGGGATTTTCATAGAACATTTTGTTGTTGTTGTTGTATGTACGTGGTACCCAACCTAACAGTGAAAGGTAGATCATGATGTGAAGTGGGACACATCCAGTGTTAACCCTTCTAACAGTGTGACTTTCGGCTCAATTCCACTGTTTCCCTTTCTTTTTTGTGGCCCTTGGCCGCATGTGTACTCTGTCTCCATCATTTTGTGACAACAGATAAAAAAGAAAAGTCTGTTCTCTGCATTGCTGTATAAAAGGAGAAGCCTTGGATAAGGTGAAAGACCTTGGCAGATGTTGCAATTTTGTTATGAGCTTCTGAGCTTCATTTTTTAAGAGGTACTCATTGGCTGCTCAATTTATGAATTTTACTTAGATATGTCAGGATTTTTAGCTGGTGATATAACTCATGGGACTTATTTAGAAGTATAATGCTCTTATGCATAAAAAGAAGGTCAGCTATATGCATAGAGCCATTAGCAGATAGGCAGTATTTAGCTGTTGTGTTAACATTATGGAAATTATTCTTTTAAAGTGCATTTAACGCTGTTAGCAGTATTGATGTTGCAAAGGCTGTAAGTACTCCCTGGTTACAAACTTTGTTTCCAATGCTAATTGTACGAAATTAGTTGTTGCATTTGGCAATTCAAGGGCTATACTTGTTAAATTTTAAGTATTATTTATTTTGAGAACTAAGATTAAGCCTATAATATTTTTTCTTGGTTTCGTTTATACTTTGAGTCAACTTGTCAAACATATCACATACTGTCAGACTTGTCTTCTGCTCTTGAATTCTCTGTTTCAGCCTGAAAAAATACTAAATTACTAAGTTCTTAAGATTGCTCTGACTTTCTCTCTGTGCCTCCATTCCTTGTTTTATGGACCCCTAAAACTTTTCAGGTGTGTTTGCTGACTGCGTGGAACACTGTAACAAGCAAAAGCGTACAGGGGACTGCCTTAAGTAGCACTCTCAGATTCCTTAGACTTAATCTGGACTCTTGAGGAGCCTGCTGTTTGAATACTATGGTGGGAAATTATTTCATGTGCCATGATTCTGTCTCAGCTACCTGGCTTGCCCTGCAATCCAATAATATTACATACATAATATTACACTTCTCAAACACATAAACACTGCAAAATGACATATTATGACCTGGATATGTACATGTTTATAAAAGGAGGAAAGAAGAAACAAAGGTAAATCTCCCTAACTAGAGATGAGGGGTGAGTCTATACCAAGAAGCAGAGAGTGATAGCTCTTTTTTATGTGGACTTTGCACAGTAAATGGATCAAGGAAACCTAATTTAATATGCACCAAAGTGAGGACATAATCCCCTAGGGGATAGCAGGATAGAAAATACCCAAAGGAGGGCAGAAGCAGCAAGGGAGCAAGCTGGCTGGCTCTGGTAACAGCGTTTCCCTTAGGAGTAGCCTTCTTTGCTCCTGCTGTAGCAGTGTTTTGTGTCCAAGAGAAGAAAGCTGCTCTGGGCAGCCTGCTAGCTCTAAAGAGAGCATTTTTCCTTGGAGACATGTTGCAAAGCTGACATTCTGGTAGAGAAAATAGAGAAGTTATTTATTTTTAAGTTAAATAAAAGTCAATACTTTCTTTTTTAGTTATTGAAGCTGTGGGTTAAAAAAATCCTTAATTCCATGTGCCATCTGAAGCACCTCACAGGTTGTCTTCACTCTGCTGAATCTGCTTATGTACCACATCATTTACTGTCCTAATGAGAGGAAGCTATTTTGTAGTGTTTCTGTGGCTAACTTCACTGAAGTACTTTGAAACTTGTTTTAAACAGTCTAAAAGTTTTGAACCTGTTCATTAGTGGAGATCTTTCTAGGGGATTGATGGTTCGTGCTGTGCAGAGTGCTGTGAGCAGGCTCGACTATGACTTACATGCTCAGGTTTCAGTGTCTGGTGCAAATTTAGGTTGCAGTGAGGTGTGTGCTTTGTCTTGCAATTAAATAGACCTGAAATGACTGAGAGAGATGTGTGGTCTTGCATCTCAAGAAATATTAGAGTGCTGTATGATTTAAAATGATTCACTAAAATCCTATTCATTAAATTCTTCCAGTAGGTTACTCAAGCCTGAACTAACACCCTCGGTTTTAATCGTTCTTAATCACTGATTTATAACCTTATTTAATATATTGCACCAGTTTCATAGATGAGGGTGAATGAACCAAATATTGAGCATTAAATCTGCCTAGTTGTAATCAATATTCTCTGAATCCATAGGATTTGTAAATTCTAAAATGCCACCGTTTCCTTTAAAA